TATATTTACATCAGGAGCGGGTCCTCTCTACGGAGGCAGCCATGTTTTTTTTTCAGTAACTCAGACTGGACAAACTAAACCTTTTGAGTTTTTATGAAAACTGAAGCTGCCACAGGTTCTCCTTTGTGTTTGGAAGGGGGGGGGGTATTCAGCTGCGATGTGAAACTTCACCACTAGATGTCACTACATTCTACACACTGAACCTTTAAAAGTTTGTGCACATTTTACGTAATGATTCTCTGAAATGATTTAGCATCACACTGTGTTCACTTTGACAAAATATGAAATTAAATTGTTTATATGTTTTTATATTTAACTAAAGCTTTGTTGATGTTTCTGAATGATATTGTTTGAATTGCTGCAATGCATTGTGGGTAAATGACCCCAAAAACTCACAAAAACATTTTTCTGTTTTGAGAATCGAGACTTTACACATAAAATAAAAGAGAATGTGAAGAAAGTGACGGAGGGAAGATGTGATTTCATTCTGTAAAATACATTCAGCTCTTGAGTAAAAGTACTTAGTTACTTTTCACAGTCGCTCTTTTACTTCCTGTGACAAAATGACAAAACATGATTCAGAGGTTAGAAATAACAAACTCTGGTCACATGATCAACCGTACGATTGGACGACACGACAGCTTAGAATGAGATTCATTCGTTCACACACACACACACACACACACACACACACACACACAGAGATCAATGAGCTGTGATGAAGAGCAGATGTAGGACAAACAGCATCGCTCCATTACACAGCTCCACCTCTGCAATGCTCACTGTGTGTGTGTGTGTGTGAATGTGTACATGTGTGTGTACATGTGTGTGTGTGAGTGTGTACATGTGTGCGTACATGAGCGTGTACGTGTATGTTGAGTGTGTGTGAGTGATTATTTATGCATGTGTGAGCATTTCTTGACGACTAATCTGCAGCTGTCGTGCGTTCTGTGTTTGTGTCTGAAAACCACATTTTAAATAAACGCTTCACTGACCCAGTTTCACGTCTCGTTAGCTTAGCTTAGCACAAAGACAGGAGGCAGAGGGACACTGTTAGCATAGTTAGCATAGCATTTGAGCTTGATGTGCATTTTGATTTTTTTGCAGATGGAACCTTCGTCTGACAGTTTGTATGAGATGCTCCCACTCATGTGACAGGGGCTTGAATAACTTCATGATCTCCAGGGGCCCCGTCACTCAGAGGGCCCCGTCACTCAGAGGGCCCCGTCACTCACACATTAAATAAATGTTTCTGTCATTTCAGTTCTTCTCTCTCTGATGTTTGTTCAGATGTTTCTCATCAGTTTGGTTTGAATCAGTTATTTATGATATAAAAACAGTTGAGATGATTGACAGCTGACACTGACTCATGGAGGTGGAGACGAGATGATTGACAGCTGACACTGACTCATGGAGGTGGAGACGAGATGATTGACAGCTGACCTGAGTCTTTATTTACGTCTGATTTGACACAAATGATTTCAACTGTTGAGATCAATGTTTCTTTATGAGAACAAACGTTCAGTTTCTATAACACATGAACAGAAGCCACCTGCAGGGGGCGCTGTAACCATTCTCACTGCTTTTGGCTTCACACTGGATTTCACTGATGACTGTTAAACTACAGGAGTGTTTGTCTGAAGGTGGCCGAGCAGCTGCCGTCAGGACCCCTCAGACTCTTTAAATCACTTCTTAAAACCCATTTTCAGTGATGTCATCTTACATGTTTTATGATTTCACTTGTTTTTATTTGAAAACTTTTATGTCGAATCTTTTAGTAACTTCGTTGATAGTTTTTTTCTGAAAACAACATTTTGAAAGGCGCTACAGAAATGATGACGATCGTCTGTTCTCGAGAGTGATGAGATGTAGTTTATTACTCTGATGAAAACAGTGGAGGATGATTCATGTTCACATCAGAGTCTGATCAATTATTTACGCTGACGACGTCTGATGCTTCACTTTTAGTTATTTCCACTGCAGAGTGGGGGGGTGATGCATGTTTTATGAACTCTCTCTCTCTCTCTCTCTCAGAGGTGCAGTGTGTACCAGGTCAGTGTTACAGTTTGTCCTCATTTAAAACAGGAAGGATTATACAGGCGTGTGTAGTAAAGTGTTGGGGGATGGTAAATGTTCATTGTGACTCACGGCCCTGCAGCGTCTGTTCAAAGACTCGACCTCGTTTTTTCCTCCTCTCCTTCTTTCCTTTCCTTGGATCCTCACTTGAGATGGAGAATATAAATATGTTTCCTGACGTGTTCCTCACATGTTCCTGACGTGTTGCTGACGTGTTCTGTATGTGAGAACAAATGTCTGAGTCAGTCTCTGGACATGTTCTGGATCTTCTCCTGCAGCTTCTAGTAAAACATCTGGAACATGTCAGAGTGAGTCCATGAGAGAAAACATCTGGAACCTTCTCAGTGAGTGAGTGGGCGTGTCTCTGAGGTTTCTAACACGTGACGGACGTGAAACTGAAGAACACAAATGTCTCATGATGAAGAAGAGGAGCCGTACACGTAGAAGACGAAGACGTCAACCTGCTGCTCTTCAGGCTCCACCCCCTGAATGTTCCCCACATGTTCCTGCTGCTTCACAGGACAAACTCTGCGTCCACCAGGGGGAGCAGTTGTTTATTATGATTTGGTTCTATGAAAAGAGGAGGAGGGTGATGAGGATGAAGAGAAAGAGGAGGATGAAGAGGAGGAGGGTGATGATGATGAAGAAGAGGARGGTGATGAKGATGAAGAGAAAGATGAGGATGAAGAGTAGGAGGGTGATGAKGATGAAGAGMAAGATGAGGATGAAGAGKAGGAGGGTGATGAKGATGAAGAGAAAGATGAGGATGAAGAGGAGGAGGGTGATGAGGATGAAGAGAAAGATGAGGATGATGAGTGATGTCATCAGTGATGTCATCAGTGATGTTATCAGTGTCTGTGTGTGTCTGTGTGTGTCTCTCTGTGTGTGTTTGTATGTCTGTCTGTGTGTGTGTGTGTCTGTGTGTGTGTGTGTGTGTGTGTGTGGAACTGGATCAGACTCATTGTGAAATATTTGTAGATTTTTTAATTTTTTTCAATGAAAACATTTCGAAGGTGAAATCAAAGAAGAGTTTGAACTGAAATGAGTCAGTAGAGACGAGGGCGCCACCTGCAGGACAAACTGCTAATTTCAATTTTTAAGATTTAATTCTTTTGTGTACAAACATTATTTTCTTTTACCCACTTCTCTTCCTCCCTTGTTCTCAACAGTGTTCCCTCCATTCTTCCTCCTCTTTCCTTCTTTCCATCACTCCTTCCTTATCCTCTCTCTGTCCTTCATTCAGTTCCTCATCTCACCATTTCTGTTTTCTTTTTTCTCTCACTTCGCCTCCACTTGTTTTGTTTCTATCTCTTACAACTGAATTTTTTAGTCATTCTTTTTCCCCTCCTTCTCATAATGTCCACCTCTCACACAAGTGTATTTATGAATGGAGATGCCGTCACTCACCTCCTCCATGTTGTTTTGTTACAACAGGAACAAACATACCTGTTCAGACGTTGTTCCTGAACCCTCGTCTTTGTCTGACAGGCTCACACAGCAGCGGCCTGAGGTTCTGTCTCCAGACCAGAGCCCTGAACCATGAAGCAGGATTTGTGGTTATCAGGGTAACTTCAGGTTTAATTCAGAGTTTTCAGTCCTGCGAAGCTCGTAGGAAAGAAGGAAACAGCGAAACAGTTTCACACGTTTTTCTTTTATATATTTTATTGAAAACCCCTCAGTACTGTTTCTGTTACATCACACAAAAAGTCAAACACAGTTTTTCCCACAGACGGGACGAAGGAGGATGCTAACAGCTGACAGAGGAGCGAGCTGGGGTCAAAGGTCAAAGGCTCAACTATCACCTCGCTGTAGAAACACAAACATCCTTAAAATGATTTAAGTCTTTAACAAAATAAAAACCAACCTGAAACTGAGCTGAGTGTATTTACAATATTGCCTTAAAAACCAGTTAAAACCTGACGTCAGCAGGTCTGACACACGTGTCCCTCAACATCTACACTCTTAAAAACAACACGTTAAAACATCCTCGTGCTCACGTTTGTCTGATTCATGATTTTATTCAAGGTCCCTGGTGCAAAACTCTGACTTGATCCCTCACTGGCGTCGCACCAAGGAGCCAAGAGTCAAACTAATTTCAACATTTGATTTTGAAGCTGATCACTTTTTCAAATAATCAAGTAACACGGAAAATGATTTAGACAATAAAAGTTCAAGAATTTAAAAATGAGAAGTCACCAGTGGAGGACTTGAACACTTTTATCTCACAGATCGAGTGTTCATCGTTTTTCTTCAAACAGAAAACTGTAGAATTTATTAATGTTTGCACATTAAATCAAATTTGATTGAATTCAAAATGTAAAGATACTTAAACAAACTCAGTTCATTTAGTGGCTGATCTGAAGCTCATAGAAAACCATCAGCTTCAATTTGTGTCCACAGAAGATTTACACTCGTATGTTTCTAAGAGATGGAATAAAAAAGATAGAAACAGTTTAAAAGTTATGATTCAAAATTCATCCTGAGTCAAAACTAAAAAAGTGGAGAATGTTAGAACCAGACACGTGGATGTTTTCAAACGATACCATTTTCAAAAGTGTAAAATGAGAGAAAAGCTAAAAGTTTACAGCAGTTTAGATAAAAGCCCGAACTGAGCAGCTTCAGGAACAAACCTGACTCACCTGATAAAAAAACCGCCAGCGCTCGACATCGTGGGAGAACGTTTCCTCTTGAGATTCATTTTTGAGTCTAATTGTTCTGATGATGAGTTTTTCAGTTTGTGAGCAGGTTTGTTTCTGTGACTGAAGCAGGAGAAAGTAGAAAATACACAACAGGTGTGTCACGTTCAAACTCCGCCCCCTGCAACCAGCTCAACCACACTCTGAGAAACATTGGAAGTCAGCTGTCTTTAGTCCTTAATATCCCATAATCCACTGCACACCTGTGACAGGTGACAGCGTCGTAGAGTCGGAAGCTGAGCAGGTGTCAGTGAAGGCATCATTGCGTAACAACTCAGAGACACGTCACAGACTCACTGCTCGCCTCAAACCTGCCAGTAAACTGGCACCTGAACGCACCACTCTTTTCCGTCAGGTTCAAAGGGTTGTGTTTAGGAGGCGGAGCCTGAAGTGTGACAACAGCGGCAGTGGTCTGAATATCGCGAGGGGACGGGCTGTTTGAGGACGAGACGCTCAGTTTTACATCAAACTAAAAACATCAACAGCTGCTGACGGGGACAAAAAACAGGCTGCTGTTAACTTCAAAAACAAACACACCCAAACTACAACTTCACCCCACCCGCCCCCTAATCTTCCCTGAAGAATCCCCACAATAAATCAAACACACACTGGGAATATTAATCAGATGATCTTTGTGGACCTGAGCGACGGCAGGTCTGCATATGTCAACTGTGAGACGGCAGAGTCACGTGACCCGTCCACGTCAGGGAGTTTATCGGACTGAAACGTGACGGCGAATGAAGATCCTGAACCGTTCAACACGGAAACATGAGACGTCTTGATTGGGTGTAAGACACAAGGAGCTCCTGAAGAGGGCGCTCTCCACTCCAGTCAGAGTCCAGAGACTGATATGGCTGCAGAAAGAACAGAGTTCTGATCCTGAACGACAAGTTTTTGTTGGATGAGATCAGATGTTGGTCTGAGGCTCAGAGAAGAACGATGTGATGAAGATAAATCTGTAAAAACCTGTGAAGAAGAAGGTCCTGATACGAGAAGTCGGGTTTGTTGGAGGTGAAACTAACGTTTGTACATTCAGGACGACTGAGGATCAGCTCAGACGTTCAAAACGTAGAAAACAAACTGAGTCCAGTTCAGACTACAAGAGTTTTAGTCCCAGGATGTCGTCACGGTGATTATATGACTGTGAAACTGATCTGCTCTGATCTGTCGGAGATGAGCTTCTTTTTAACACTGGGTTTGTGTGCACGATGTCAACTTCCATGAGAGCACGCCCTCAGAATTTAACGCCATCTGTATTCAAGAGGCAGTATGTACATGAACCATAGGGGGCAGTGTCGGGTGAGTGGTCTGTGCAGTGCGGTGTTCCTGCCACACAGTGACAATAACATGCTCGTCAAAATATCAGTCAGCTATTTTAAAGGTTGATCCTGCAAAAATAAACACAAACAATCTGAGAGAGTTACCGAGTTCTTACCGCAAGTCAGTCTGAGCTCGGCACAGAATTGAATCCATCGGTGGTTCCCCGAGACAATTCTAAACAAATTCTAATGTCAAAATTTGCCATGTTTATCATGTAGGTCACATAGATCAGGTGGTTCTGTTGGATTTTACTGCTGTGGTGCCCTCTAGAGGAATCATCCAGTAACAGCAACAACCACCATCTTCACTTTAAAGTTTACATCACAAACTGCTTTTCTTCTGTGTCGGTACACAATCATTTGGTAACTATGGTAACCTGATGAAATGAGACCATCAGGTGCTGGAACACTTCTTGTAGTCTGGACTGGAAAAGCTGCTCAGTACAACAGCTGAAAACTAGGGGGCGTCAGTGCTCACCCACCTGCCTGGTAAAACTAAACCTGTTTACAGGAGAAGAAGAAGAAGAAGAAGAGTCGTCAGCCCTGGAGACAAAGTGTGTTTTGGTTTTCACACCTGTTCTTTAACAAGGAGTTGGTTCACACCAGAACTTCAGATTCAGACGTCTAGCCGACGATGAGACGAGGGTCGGGGTTCAGGCTCAGGATGTGGAGACGGACTTATGGGACAGACGGATGCTTTGACCCTGAACCAGGTTTTAAAGGGAAACGTGTTGAGTCTTCAGCTGAGAACCATCAGGTAAAGTTCTGATCGAATCTTCTTATATTATCTAAAAACAAAGACGTGATTTTCTACTGCAAACTGAAAGGGACTATTTCAGATCACCGTTCCTGTTGCTGCTGATGTTGTTGCCATGGTTGCAGTGATTGTTGTCTGGCGGAGGTCGGGTCCGGAGGTGGACTGAGACGGACAGAAACAGGACGACACACAGACGACGAGTTGATTGAAGGACTAGTCGTCTTCATCGTCGTCGTCGTCTTCCTCCTCGCCTTCATCATCCACGTCTCTCTTTCTCTTCTGTCCCTGAACGCCCGGCTGGTCCTCTGCACATAGGGAATCGACCAATCAGAGGAAGCTGTCACGGTTCTGACCAATCAAAGCTATTCACACAACTAATCCTTATTTAAATCCTTAGCGATCCTTTTAAAGAGGCTGAATATTAACTTGAATTATTACGTTTTAGGGGTTTTACCTGTTGATCAAACAATATTAATAAAAATACTTTGAATGACAGACTCCTCTTTTCATTGATTGAAATTAAATTGTGGATCAAAGGATTAAATGTGTTGTATTTCATGGACATCACTTACCTTCCTCCTCCTCTTCCTCTGCATAGTCTTCCTCATCCTCCTGAGACCAGAAGAAAAACTTCACTTTCTCAACACACACCTTCACACTTTGAAAATAACACACAGCTTCTGATTGGATGACACTAATGAAGCTCTACGTCTACGTCAGATCGTGTGACCAGGCTGATCTCCATCAGACCGACTCTGACAGTTTGTTCAGAACGTCTATCATATAAATACAAATAAACTACTTGTCCTGATTGA